CAATATCTTATACTTCGTTTGATGTAAATTTGATGCCGTGAGTTTGTTGTGGTGGCGGATTGACCGTAAACCTTTCATCTTACCGAGAAAGGAACAAAGCACTGTAGAGGAAGCCTAGAGAGCAGACAAGACTGACTTGGGTCAGACCTAGCGGGAAATAATGCAAGCTCGTATGACAGTAGCGCGTGGGTTTTTTTCAAATTTGAATGTTGAGTGAGTCGCAGTAAGAGCGTTATTTTGGTCAGAGAAACAAAAGCACGAAATAATTAGCTTTTCATAAAGACGCGAACTAGATTGAAAATATACAGACGTGCAATTACGCTTTGTTAATTGAGTGATTAGTGGGAAAGTGTGTGAAGTTTTGAATTGTAAATTAGTCATTGATTTTTTACTTCAGCTTTTGTCATGGACTGATATAGCGCGAAAGTGTCAGGGTATGTCGAAGAGTTTAACCCCTTTCCTTCTTGCCTACACAAATTTGCTCTACGTCACCGGGTAAGTAATTAGCTATTGTTAGGAAAAACTTCCTGTATTGCATCTGAAAAACTGCTCAGTCCACAAAAAACTAGAACATTTAGAGTTATGTTAGTTGTTGATTTTAGCCTGAAACAGGACCCTTGAATCAATTTTGAGTTTTAATCAATTATTCAGAAAGTTGAATTATGTAATAACAAGCCCGAGGAAGCAAAGTCCAACCAAAAGAACTCCTCCTTACAAAGTATTTTTTTTTGCACCTCCCATAAAGGAAAAGAAGATATTCTCCGTGGGATGCGATTATTCTAGTTGAGGTCACCTGCGTTCCTTCATGTGATAGCAATCACTATATTCGAACGATATAGCGAAGCCCTATCCCGACTGTGTTCGGCAACTTATGAGCAGCGTTTGGTGTTTGGAACAACTCTTTGCGGTCCTAGCAACCTTGTGCATTTTTTGCCTTTCTGAACAATTTCTTAGCAACTGTCTCCGTTAAATTACTTTCCATGAACGGAAATAGATGGATAGAAACCGCCTTTATTTACAAACAACAACTTCAGCTTTTGTCATGGACTAATATAGCGCGAAAGTTCCAGAGTATGTCAAAGAGTTTAACCCCTCCCCTCCGTGCCTACACAAATTTGCCCTCCATCACCAGTTAAGTAAGTAACAAAAAACTTCCTGTATTGCATTTGAAAAACTACTCGGTCCACAAAAAACTTGAATATTTATAATTGTTGATTTTAGCCTGAATTTTAGCCAGGAAGTTGAATGATATAATAACAAGCCTGAGGAAACAAAGTCCAACCAAAAGAACTCCTCCTTACAAAGTATTTCCTTTGCACCTCCCATAAAGGCAAAGAAGATATTCTCCGTGGGATGCGATTATTTTAGTTGAGGTTACCTGCGTTCCTTCATGTAAGAGCAATCACTATATTCGAACGATACAGCGAAGCCTTGTCCCGATTGTGCTTGGCAACTTATGAGCAACGTTTGGTGTTTGGAGCAACTCTTTGCGTTCCTGGCAACCTCGCTCAATTTTTGCCTTTCTGAGCAATTTCTTAGCATGCAAATTTCTTGAAAGTCTCGCAGGCATATTGTCTAATATTAGAACGGATAATCGACGCACAAAAATGGCTGTCTCTGTTAAATTACTGTCCATGAACGGAAATAGATGGCTTATTTTATAAGGAAATATCGAGTAACTTTTTTAATTTTTGGAAATTTATAAACAACTTTTTGGCATTCAAGTGAGCAACTTTTTAGCATTTTTACGAGCACATTCGGAACGGGCCTAATACAGTGTCCTCGGAGGAAGTCCACTATTCTTATTTCTTTTTGGGAGCCACAGATTTTCAAGCTTGATAAACATTGAACAAGGCAGACGAGCTGTTGTTTAATTGGAACTATTGGACTAGTGGTCTTTCGTAATGCATGTGAAAAAACAACTCGGTCCACCAAAACTAGAACATTTACACACTAATAATGGTTGTTAATTTTAGCCTGAAACAGGACTATTTAATAAATTTTGAGTTTTACAGAACGTGTTCTGAAATGGTTTTAAAAAATATCTCGACGTTCAAAACTGATGTCATTTTCTTCTCCAAACTACCTCTTATATCCCGTTCTAACACTTTAAAACCCTTTTTTTATCAAAAGACGCATTAAATAGCGGTTTGCAAACATACTGTGAAAACAGGGTTTTGCCTTCACAAATGAACGGACGGACGGGGACAACTCTTAAAAACTCTTCTGGGTAAAGGCTTTCCTTGGGGGCACTCGCTGGCTGCGGGGAGGTAACCGGAATCTATTACGGTTGCTGACTATCCTTGAGAGAATGACTAACGACAACAGGGTTGGCTCCAACGTAGATTTATTCTGCAAGCTCTACTACAATTTTGACCAGAACGGACCTGGCCAGGGCTGGTTCGACCCCGTTCCCTTCCTAACTTTCTTCCTACCGCTAAGCTTTACAGAACAGTCCTATTTAAGCTTAACGTACATGGATAACGTAATGCCATGAATA